TTACAGAGTATGCTTCTCAAGGTTGTTATTTAGACAATAAACGTAAGTACGGTGAATTCATATGATTACAACTAGTTCCTAAAGACCTACACTTTCAGAACTGTACATAACATAGTAAAGTACATGTACTGGGTGTTCATATGGCTGCTACATTAAATTACACCTGTGGAAATGTGTCTGGAATTTTGTGACATAATATAAGATGTTACATCACCAGTGACTGAAAACCACTGTTCATTGTTACAGATGGTAATATCTAAAAATAAAAAATATCATAAAACGTTTCAATATTAGTGCACTTAAATTCTTACCTGCTAAATTCTGTTCCGTTTCATCCACCAATTCACCACTTTCAGTATCTACTTCATCTTCGGAAGATTGATCTTCGTCATCGGTTGGTATAAATTCATCTTCACTTGATTCAATGTCACTAATAGTTACTTCGTTGTCTGATCCAGACAATGTAAAAGTTTCACAAATATTTTCTAACTCTTTCTGAGTCAATGGTCGATTTGCATCACGTTTACTGGCACCGGCTTGCATTATGACAGATAAATACGCATCAAAAGCAATACACACTCGGCCACAGACTGCAAGGTACTAACGATGGGCAAAAAAAAACATAATTCCAGTAAATGCGTAGATATCAACTTTTGGCCGCGGGCGGGTCGTGCGGCGTCTAGGTAATACAATAATCATCGGGACGCCGCATGTACCGCCGGCGGTCTTTACATAAAAATATTAAATATGGCACATATCTAGTGAAATAAATATGTCCTGCAAATATTAAAATGAAATATTATTTATTATAGTTGAAAATTACTAGTGCGATTCCAGGAAGAACTGTTAAAAACTATATGGCGTCAGGGTATAACAGTATAATGTCCGCCGGCGGTAAATGCGGCGGTCAACGTGTTAATAATATATGACCTAACTACTACTGTTTGTGCAGAATTATATACTAAAACACCTATAAGACGGCCTGATATACAAATTATCATGTTAATCACGGGAAAAGAATGAAAGAAAATTATTGGAAAATGTTTCGTTAACAAAGTTTTGGCCATTAAAGGGGTTAAACCACCTTCTGTGCTTGTTTCTAAATTTTGTTTATTCAATATTATTGCAGGATTGAAACATGTTGGTACATGGACATGGACAACTTATTCTACAAACTCCTATAACTTGATTTTTTATTAGATACTGCATTCGAATGTACAAAGTTGTACTTTGTACCAGAGTATTTGAGGAATATTTGCAGACTGTTGATGATACTTACCTTCCTTAAAGATTTATTTGTTGGAATAAAAGCATGTTCTAACGGAATATTCTCTGAAAAACAAAGACTTTACTTTACAAAAATTATGGGTACCCTAAGAGTTATATCGGTTATATTCTTCTATATGTAAAATATTGCCTTCCACAGCAATTTCATTTAACGGGATAATTTCTAAAAATTATTTGTATATTTTAGCTTGGAAAAATTCCTGATTTGAATGTTGAAGCGATTTTAATGAACAGGCGTTAAATTGAAATGGTTAAGCAAGTCAAAAATATACTTTGTACGAATGCTCATCGTGGTGAACTAAACAGAGTAAATTCCTATTATTCATGGTCTATAACTTTTTTTGGCGAAATTTTTTCGGGAATAAAACTAAAGCACTGTACTATACTAATACATACTATATATTTGTTATGAATAGAGTTGTTTCTTGAAATATAACAAACAGAAAAACATTTTAGCTCTAGAAAACCGTTGTATTTAAAAATGTAACTTTATTCTATCAAATAAAAAGATCAAAGTTGCTAAGTGTTTATTTGGAAGACTTATATTTAGAGATGTAACAGTTTTCACGAAAAATTGAAAACAATAAGTTTCTTAGATTTCGACTATCTTTGTTATTAAATGTATATAATATTTAGGTACTTAACACATTAGAATGTAATAACACAAAATGGCACTGTCTTGTGAAAATCTAATCTAAAAGTGTTATAAAACTTAATGTTACACTTTTCCCGAACACAAACAAAACTCTTTTCACAAGATCGGAGTCAATATATCTTTTCTCGATAAATCGCGAGTCTACTTGCCAAACAGTGAATAGTTACATCTGCCAGCTGGTGGTTACTAGGCATAAACTTACATGTAACTTTCATTTAAAAGTATATGTGATTTATAGATGTTTGGAGCAACTTATACCAAAACTTAATTTTTTGAGATGTAACTCTCTTCTTCCGGACGAACGATATACAGGGTGATTTTTAAGTTGGGTAAATCCTTCTACCGCCAAGGTAAAGCTAAGAAAAATAAATATTTTTTTACTTTACCACTTTTTCGAAATATCAATACTAATGAAAGTACAGGGGGTTAAAGTTTTGTTTAAAAATTTTAATAAATGATTTTTTTTCTACGAAACCGCTTGTGATATGTTAATAAAATTTTACAAGCGTTGATAACTCCAAAAGTCGCATATTATTCGATAAGCAGAATATTTCTAAATCTATCAGTGGCGCACGTACCAACAGATAATTCAATATTTTTTAAGAAAAAATGGTACGCTACTGTTTTTTCGAAACATGAAAATAATTTTTGACTTCTCTGTTCAGTTCTGAAGAAGAAAGCTCTCTTGACTTTTTTTCACACGACTCATAGTTTTCAAAAAAAAAAATAGTTTTATTCCACATTCAAAATCAAATGTAACTTTAATTCAAAATTACTTAAGTAGGTATGTTACGAAAATTTTACTAAACTTAATCTAACTGATATGCTCAAAATGAGCTCCATTTACTTCGACGCATAGTTTAGCTCGACGTAACCACTGTTCAGTCACCGCGTGAAGTAAAGAAACTTGTTTCCCTCTAATCGTAATAGCAACCTCCTCTATGCGTCCAATCAATTCTTCCACTGTTTCCACAGGAATTTGGTACACTAAAGATTTCATGTAGCCCCACAAAAAAAGTCACATGGAGTCAGATCTGGAGATCTCGGAGGCCACTCCACTGGACCACCTCGACCAATCCATTTATTTCGAAAAATATTGTCCAAGAACAATCGTTCCTCCCTACTGAAGTGGGGGGGTGTCCCGTCTTGCAGAAGCCACATCTTTTGCCTAACGTTCAATGGCAGTTCCTCCAAGAGAACTGGCAGATCATTTTGCAAGAAGTTTAAATAATTTTCGCCCGTTAAACGATCTGGTAAAATATGTGGCCAATGAGCATTCCATTCACAAGTCCTGCCCATACATTGACGGAAAATCGATGTTGAAAATTGGTTCTTCTAACAGCATGTGGATTTTCAATACATCAAAGGTGCGTATTTCGGAAGTTATTTATACCATCACGAGTGAATTGTGCTTCGTCCATAGCTAAAATGATTTTAGTAAAATGTTCATCATCTGCATGCTTTTGAAACAGCCATTCACAGAATTGAACTCTGCGTGGATGATCGGTAGGTTGTAGCGCCTGTACACGTTGAACGTGAAAAGGGTATAACTGATTTTCGCGTAATGTTCTTCATACCATAAATAATCGATAATATTTGCTTTAATTGCAATTTTCTTCCAACGTCAATGGGATAAGAGAGCGACGATAGAATATCTTTCCTTCGTATATATTGGATATAACTGGAAAAAAAAAATAAACCGTTAATGTTTTACGTAATCAAAATATTTCCAGCTGTTTGTTTGCAACGTGATTTAAATTTTAAAAAATACCTTTTAAAATCTTCCTGTAGATCCGTAACCACCTCTTGATTGAATAGTGTCTTTTAACACTTGCATGCACTTTCTTTCTGGAATACTTAAAATTACAATCTGACAAAATCTTTCCCGTTCCTCCAGAGCGAGTGTTAATCTACCAGTGGGATAACAGTAGTTAACAATTTTTCTGAATATCCAACATCAATTATTCTAGTTTGTTGTTGAATTCTATTGTGCCAGGAGGATCTTGTAAACAACATTCCACAGTATCCCAGTGGAATAAGACACATCTCATTAAGTTGAATTTTTTGCGGGATGCCTTTTTTTAATTCATACTTATGTGCAGATGTTAAATCTATTCCCGCATTTTTATCTACTATTTTTAGTGTTGTATTCATACCCGTTAATACAACACATGTGTCTTTCATATAATGAACAAAACCCTTTATTGTATTTATCATTTCAACTGGTCTTTTTACATCAATTTCCAATGTTGGTATATTAAATTCCTTTGCGAAATAATGAAATACTAAATTTTGTACATTAATGTATTCAATGTTCAACAAGTCAATGCCGTTACATCTTAGTTTCATTTTTTCCAAAACGGCATTCGTATCACTAGCTAGTAATATTACAGCTCGCCAGGACTGAGGAAATATTTCAAGTTTCTTCATCAATTTAAAATAACTTTTTGCATCTTCTATTGTTTTTTCACCTTTTATTATTAAAAACCCCAAAGAATATATTATATTTGTAAAAGGCAATCTGTCATGGACGTATTCTTCTTATAGTCGAGAAGACACAAAAACTTGATAAATTAAATCAGTTGTTGGATCCTCATTTTTTTTAACAATAAAGGCTCACCTGTACTATGTTCATGGCAAGTCCCCCGCAAGGATTGGTACACCTTCCGATTTTAACTTTAATAATGATGAAGTCTTAAAGAGGCAGCAGGTACCGTCGATAAAATATTTCATTTTTTCTTTTTTTACACTACTTTTCACAGTAATTAATGGTATGAAAAACGTTTTAAATTAGCAACCTTTTATACAAAAATATTTGCATGATATAATTTGACCTGTGACCTACTAAACACGCATTTATGTTTATCGTACAATGTAACGTAATATTTGCTTACTAAGTAGTTGTTTACACATGTATAACCATAAAATATTCCAATATGCAACGTGATCTACTTATTGCACGCGCATTTATTCTTTCTATGTAACCTAATCTTTGCTTGCTTAACAGGTTGTTTAAAAGACGCATGTATTAAAATATTCCAATCTATTTGCATGATATAATTTGACCTGTAACCTATTTAACTGCATTTATGTTTTTCGTTAACCATAAAATATTCCAATATGTAACGTAATCTACTTATTGCACGCGCATTTATTCTCTCAATGTAACGTAATCTTTTCTTGGTCAGCAGTTGTTTAAAAGATGCATGTATTAAAATATTCCAATGTGCAACGTGACCTGTTACTTTGTTGCGATATACGTATCTAATTTTTCTAAAATTTTGTTTAAATACTGGATGTAATTCAGCTCAAAATCAAACAGTTCATCGTATCTGAAGACTGCTAAGTTACAGCAACAACCATGTCGACAATTCCTTCTACAATCGTCGTTTGCACTGGTCGTAATGCAACAATTATTTCAGTAAGTATATTTTATCTGTCTGAATTTTTCTGTACTGCTTCTGCTATTGTAATATTTTTTACCATAAATGTGTTTAATTTGTAGATATGTTACTTGTTTGAAATTCGTATATTTTGTTGTTCACTTTTTTAGATATGGTGTAATATTTTTTACCATAAATGTGTTTAATTTATAGATATGATATTTGTTTGAAATTCATATATTTTGTTGTTCACTCTTTTTAGATATGGTGTAAGGAATATGGGAATAAAGGAGGATAAAATATTTATCGAATTAAGTTATACTCCAAACGCACAACGTTTAAAACATAAATTTGGACAACTATCTGTGCGATATATGAGGGTAAAAATTAACAATTCGGGAGATTTTAAAATTTTGGAGTCTGTGCTAAAGCGTTGCAAGTACAACTTACTCGATGAAGATGTTGATGGTCTTCGAAAAATAGAATCGGCTCCATCGAAAAGAAAATTGATTAAACCATCACCACCACCACCAGAAGCAGCAACAGCGCCATCAGCAGCAACACACCGAAACTATTCATCCTTCAGTTTTGAGGAAGCTGAAGAAATTAATTTAATAGGGGACGAGGAAAATAATGTTGATGTTAGTATTAGTAGTAGTAAAAGACAAAGAAAGAATGTACAGTAAGTAAAATAAAATACATATAAAATTTATATTGTTTTTATTGTATTCCCTCTAATATACATATACCAATAGTAAATGAAAAATACATTTTCGAGTGTACAATTTAAATCATTAAAACAATGTCTTTGACAATGAAAAGATTTAAATATTGATTTCATTTCGTAAAATAATTTCCAAAAGAAACTTTCTTCCATATTTCTTGTGTGGTCCAGGGATATGCAATTAAGTGGATTTTATTTTTATAGACAATACCCGCGCCATCTACTGATCAGTGATAGCTGAAATATTCTTTAGCACCAATATCTACCGCAGTGTTCTCTTGTTGTTAAATACTATGAGTAGTCTAGAGGTAATGTGCTCGCTTTGCAATCCAAAGGTTCTGGGTTCGAATCTCAGACACAGCAAGACTTTTTTAATTTAAATAAAATTCGCAACCAACTTTAAATTTACCGCCAATTGCAGGTCATCGACCTCCCTTATCGTACCCCACCTCTCTATTGCGCAAGTGTTTATATCTAGAAATTTTGAATTTACCGCTAATTTTATTACCACGTCTGATTGGTTGGGAGGGGCGTGGTCTAAAAGTAGAGTGGTGGGCGCGGCACACCTGTAATTAACACCTGTCGGTGGCATCCTTTGATCTTTACCGACAAATTTTCCCACGGTCCCAGAAATTTTCCCAGTCTCAAGTGGCGCCCTACCTACTCACCATCAGTATATTTACGTTTCCAGACGACTATATACAAAATATATTTACAACTTAAACTAACAATTAACTCCATCATTTTCTACCCGTTCGACCATTTAACCTTTTCAAGGTTTTTCCCTTTCACTCTTTTTCCTCATTCGCTCAATATTGTTTATATCTAACTCCAACGACCTGATGTCAGTGTCAACTACCCGCAACTGCTCGAACAACATCGCCCTATGTTATCGTCTCTCCTCCAGTGTTCGCCGAAACGATGTCTTGATCAGCTGCTTGCGAACACTGGATTTCATCGTCGCTGTTGTTGTCGCTATGGGTGGTGACACCGTTGGAGATGTATCCATTTGGACCGCCTGGGTTACAGGTCCTGTCTGGGGTGTAGGCTCCGCTTGGGGCGCTAATGGTGTCACCTCCTCCACCAATGGGGCCGCATGTTGTTCAGGTGGCGCCAGCCAAGGAATGACAATAAAGGGAAAGAACAAAAACCGTTAAATTAAGGGCAGTAAAGTAGGGCGCACACGTATAATAAGCGCATGTAAGGTTTACCAGCAATATTAGCGTCGCTTGAGCTCAGGCGCAACCGCTGTAGACATGATTCACCTAAGAGATGTTACCAAAAAAATAGATTCGTACCTTAATTATTAACGGGAACAAATATGTTGTAATATTAATTATTCTCCATCTTAACAACCAACTCGCAAGCGGGTAACGACTCTTATTATCGTATAAAAAAAATAGTTGCACATAACCACTTTAAACTTTTAGAGATATATAAAATGATTTTAATAATATTAAATACTTAACACTATAAAAAAAAATCTATTATAATCTGGGGAAAAATTAGTTTCCTCAGAGCATTGATTATCTAACTAGTTTAAATATTCTTAAAGATAAAGATAATAAAAATTAAAAAACTTGAGAAAATTTCTTCCCAACTAATTCGGTTTGATTCCGATGTCCTTAGGAACCGCAAATGATACCAAACCACAACTCTATCCGAGCTCCCAGTTTTCTTAAAGTATACCACAAGAACCCTGTATTTTACAGGAAAAAAAATACTGACTTAACGGTCTTTGGGATTAGGACAGAAAAAAAAACTAAATGTTTATCTAAAATAGTGTAAGACTTACCGATAATTACTAAATTACGACAGATAATAATTAATAAATTTTATATTTACAACCAAAAAAACCACGAATCCGTTTTTGGATACTTAATAGAATAGAAAAAGTTATATACGCCTTATTGAGTAAATAATGTACTTAATATTCATTAACTGGACAAACAAAACAACAAAAGGAGTATATGAAAAGCCTAATAAAGCAAAGATAGCAGTAGGTTTTGTTCCTTTTATTTTTTTGTTATGCAGGGTGTGGTGTCTTTAGTGCAGAAAAAATAAAATGCAGATTCCTAGGAATATATGCAATAAAAAAGCCTTATATAAGAAATTAATACGTTTTGATCCACGTTTTGTCAAGAAAATTGAACATCAAATTTGTAGAGAAGAAATAAATCTTAGTACGGTCCTGGTCAAAAAATGTCATGCCATTCGATTAACATCAGCGCACGCTTGCCGAACCGAACTTAACAGAGCGCAAATCAGCCAAATTAAAATGTATGAAATGCACACAAGAGATAAAATGTTTTAATGCAATAATGAATAATTTTGGCCAGTTTAATACAATCCTCTCGTTTTAATTAAAAGGAAAAATAAACATAAAATTCAATTAGTTATTTCACTGTAACTGATAATGTGCAATCCCAGACAAGAGGTTTGTAGAAACAAAGTACATGGTGTTACAGAAAAGACTACTATTATTTTAACAAGTGATAGGTTGGCTCACGACAAACAAAAAAGATGCAAACTTACCGCTATTATAACTATCACCATGTCAGCACGTTCGATAGTAGTAAACGTATTATTGTTGTCCTCGTTATCCATTGCCAATTTAGTTAAAACAATAACTTAAAAAATAAAAAATAAGAAACGTCTTTAATAAACACTTAACGTCTAAACAGCAGAAGCGCAATCTTTTTGACACAGCAGCAATTCGCCCGCAACCCGCAAGATACTAGCTGACACTCCACAGGTGCCGTGCGGAGTGCGGACTAGGTCAATGTTTTTTGCGCGATGTTAAACAGGACCGGCATTAACATTTTGTCACTTCTTGTAATTTTTTGGAAAATATTTTTGATACTCAAATCTCATAATCGCCTTATGGTAGCATATATTATTTTATTTCATTTATTGTCAAGAGTCTAGGTTTTTAATTTTCTGCATTAAAGACGCTACACCCTGTATAGGTTATTATAATAATACATTTATTCTCAACGGATTAATACCCAATTACAGAGAAAAAAATATGTAAGACAAAGTGTATAACAAAAAAAGTAGTTCACAATATAAGACAAAAAAAGGAAAAAAGAAAAACAACAATTAAGCAGGATAACCCATCAATAACTATAGCGTGGACTTAAACTTAGCAATAATATAACTTATACCATGAAAATTGATGTCGCACTGATCGGCTATACCATTGAATAATTGACACATAGTATAAATCGGTGATTTAACTAATATATTAGTTCTAGGGGTTTTACAATAAAAAGTAGGCATATATCTTGACTGGGCTCTTGGCACTGAAAATGAAAATTGTTGCAAAAGATAGTCACAATCAATTGAGTTATTAAACAGTTTACACAAAAAAGTTAACGCAGCGCAGTTTCTTCTGTCTGACAATGCAGGAAGACTGAAAGACTCGAGTAGAGTTAGTTGATCAAATCCTCTGGGGGGATAAAACCCATTACATTTAAAATACATAAATTTTAGACATTTACGCTGTACGGATTCTATATGGTGGATAGAATTTTGATATATAGGAGACCAAATGATTGATGCATAATCCATTTTACTTCTAATAAATGTTACATATAAAATTCTAAGTGAATTTATTTCGGAGAACTCGCCCCAATTCCTAATAAAATATCCTAATAATCTGCAGGCAGAAGAGACAGTTTCCAGGACATGATTGTTGAAGGAGAGTCCCTTATCGAATATTACTCCCAAATCTTTATATGTATCACATCTCTCCAGTACAACTCCATTCAGTGAATAATCAAATATTATAGGATATGATTTCCTATGGAACGAAACAACCTTACACTTAGTTAAGTTTAGTTCAAGCCTGTTGTTAAGACACCAGCTGTGAACTTCATCTAGCGAGGCCTGTAGGACCTTGCAATCAATAACTGAATTAATTTGTAAATAAATTTTCAAATCATCAGCAAAAAGCAAATGTTGCACAGATATTTTAGTTGAAATATCATTCACAAAGAGAAGGAACAGTAAAGGACCCAAATTCGACCCCTGAGGAACACCTGATGTCGACACATACATCTCAGAACGTACACCACCATATTCCACATACTGACGACGATTTAGTAAATATGATTCGATTAGGTTGGATAACGAACTTGAAAACCCTGTCGCTCTGAGTTTAGACAGCAGACATAGATGATCAATTCTGTCAAACGCTTTTCTTATGTCAGTATATATAACATCTACCTGGCCTGCAGCATCTAAAGTTTCCGAGATATATTGCGTGACACAGCATAAATTCGTTATAGTCGATCTGTTCAACATAAATCCATGCTGAAAAGATGAGATTGTGGACCTCACCGAACTATAGATGGTATCATATACAATAATTTCAAATAATTTGCCGAAATTACATAGTATGGCTATTGGCCTGTAGTTATCAATGAGAGTGCGATATCCACCTTTATGTATAGGACAGATCTTGGCTGTTTTCCATAAATCAGGATATATTTCACTTGACAGAATTAAATTAAACAAATGTAGGAGAGGTGTCAAAAACGCGTGAATACAATCTTTTACAATGAAGCTTGGAATTTTATCCACCCCAGCGGTCATCTTGTTTTTGAGTTTTTTAGAGGCCATAATAATATCCTTCTCGGATATAGCATTATGCCTGGGAATAAGAATAAAACTTACCCTCGATACAAGGGGTTCTGCTAATAATCACCTCTGTGATTACCACAATTTATCTGTGTTTATGAAAATGGCCTGTCTTCGAGGACGTGCTTGTCGAGGTGTGTATACCAATCCTTCAATGGGTAAGAACAACCTTGGATCTCAGCACCGAAAATACACCAAACAATCGATTTCACAGATCCCAAGTATTCATTTTGTCGTGGGATAATCTAATCCTCAATGAGATGAGTTGGAAAAATCAAATTTATATCCACACAACGCACACACCTTCGTTTTGCCCATGCAGAAAACAATTTTCGCCGACAGACAGCCTGGTACCACTACCAAAAATCTCGAGTCCGTGATTGGTTCGACACTAGCCAATCAGGTTACAGATAAGTTAATTATTTTCACTATACAGTATTTCTATGTACCTGTAGTAACATATAATGGAAAATCTATTCGAAAAATATTGTTATATTCATTTATGTAAACATTGGTGTATTTAATTTAAAATAAGTGTTGAAATCTGTATTTGATTTAAAGTAGAAATTAACTGTTACAAAGTCTTCCATCGATGAGGTGAAGATTTTATCCACGATAACGCTACACTAGAATCGGACTACGCATAGATCTTTTGAATAGACAAACGAGTACTATACAACTAGGAGACAAAATCAAGGAGATCTGACAACAACATAGCCACACACTCAAGTCGTGGAATTTAGCATTTTATTTATCACACACAAACCCAATTGAAGCTTTATCCTCGGATGGCACATCTTGTCGAATATATACAACTGCTGCATATCCGATATTGGACGAATCACAGAACCCGTGTAATTCTGACGACAAATCTTTATCCATGATGACTCGTCTAGGGATGGAAAACGACGACAAACAATCCACCTGAGCCTTGTACGCAGTCCAACGTGAAACTAATTCGGGGGAGGACACTCATCCCTTCATTCCAAAAACACTGTATGATATGCTTAGCAAATAATGTTAAAGGGGCCAAGAAACCAAGTGGATTGTAGATCCTCGCTACTTCAGAGAGAACATTCCGTTTGGTACAAGTTCGAAAAGTAGGTTCTACATTGAATGTTAAAGAATCACTATCAGGACACCATTGAAGACCTAACAATTTTAAGATACTTGAGTTATCCGAATCAAATGAATAGGGTTGTTGGTGAGAAGTGGGAACAGACATCTGAAGTGCTGGGTGATTGCTAGCCCATTCTAAACCCGCCAAGCCAAGAAGAGATATCAACTGGGATTGTAGCTCACAAGCATCATCCAAAGAATCAGCACCACTCACGATATCATCAACATATATATCAGATCGAAGCACCTTTGCAGCCAAAGGATACTTACGACCTTCGTCCTCAGCCGATTGTAACAGACATAGCTTATTGATAGCTAACAGATAGCTAAATATGGACTAGAGGGCACACCGACAATTTGTATTAAACAGTATTCTTCAACAGTTTTTTACATA